CGACGTTGTGGATTTTGTCGGAGAGAAAACTTGCAGACATACAGCACTTCAGAAGCACACTGCTAGAGATTGAACATTTATTTAAATTTGGCAGCTGAACATATTCTGTACTGTACTGTTCAGGAGACAGGAGTCCCTCAGCCAGTCAGGACACAGCGGGAGGAACGCAATACGTGTTCATACACTAAAAACAAAAGGCATGCAAAATTGCACAAAAAATAAATTCTAAAAATCAGCGAAACAGCGAGACCGCGAAAAGTGAATCGCGTTAGAGCGAGGGACGACTGTAAGCCAGGTCTAAACCAGAAGTGACCCAGGTCTAAACCAGGTCTAAACAGCGTAGAGTTCTGGGTCGGTCCTTTCGCCCGCGGTTAACTGGTTCTATCCGGCCGCGTCTCCGGCGTTTCACCGCTGCTGATTTCACGGTGATTTTAGCGAATTTCTATGAAGAAAAACCCACCACTTCAATCCAGGTTAAAAAAGCACTGTAACGCGCGTTACTCATATTTGTACCGAGTAAAATATTACAATTTTTCCCCCTGTAATGCCTTACATTACTGCGTTACAGCAAAAATCAACGCATTACTGTAATACATTACTTTTATAACATTACTCCCAACACTGATTATATTGTACTGTGATGCTGCTGTGTCCAAATAATTTCCCTTTTGGATGAATAAAGCTTTTCTAAGTCTATAAAACTGAAGTGAATCCTGACCTTCTCTCTGACGTGAAGAGCCAGAGCCACCTCATCCCACACGAAGTATCTGAGTCTGTATTTCCCATTCTCGTCGTACCAAGAACAGGGCTCCACCGACAGAGAGTTCTGCTTCCGATTCACCACGAGCTCAAAGCTGCAGAAACAAGAAAGAGGCTGAGACCAATGTAAACTACGCACACATCAGATACAGACACGTGTTCATCTTTATAGGGTAAATTGTCCTCTGTAGAGAAATACAAAAGCTGTCATTGTGTCCTTCGGTTTCGGGTTCGATCCCCGGGTCGCCCAGGCCTTTCTGTGTGGAGTTTGCATGTTTCTCTCTGTGTCTGGATGGGTTTCCTCCAGGCGCTCCAGTTGATAGTCAAGGTCAATTAAATATAAACAATGAATTTGCAGGTGGAAATTATCACTGGTGTTACAACCTGGCACAATGCATCTCTCCTGTTAAGGTTAATGTAAAAATTGTGTGCTGTCCCTGTATCAAAAAAAATAAATAAATAAAAAATGCATTGCACATGGTTCCCCTGCTCATGAAAATCCTGGAAAAGTCACAGAATTTTGTAAATTCAAGGAAAGTTTTGGAGAAGTCATGGAATTTTAGTATCTCTTTCACACAACTACGGTGTTCTGTTAAGTTCTCATTAGGCCTTTTGTTCAAAAGAGACGACAATAAATGCACTGACAGTATTTTGAATGTTAAAAAACTATAATCCCAAACCATAAGGTGAATGGAAAGGGTTAACATTAAAACTGCACAGTTATTGAAGCACTTTAAATATTGGCTCAAAACTCATCTTTTCTGCTTGCTAACAGCACGTTGCTGTTATTCTTATTTTTATTGTCATCATTATTACTCTGGTTAATTTGCCTATTACCTGTTTTATTTCACTATTCAGCACTTTTGATAAGTTTTGCTGTTTTAAATGTGCTCCGTGATACAAATAAATTAGATTTGATTTTGATTTCGTATTAAGCCATAAATGTCTGATCAATTCTACACATGTAGGTGCCATAAAGTCATGAAAAATTCACTTTAGGTCAGGAAAAAGTCATGGAATAATCTTGAAATGTTGTCAGTGAAAAAGAGTGAGAACCCTGATTGCATAATATTCCCTCTTTAAGGCTAAGAGTTATTATAAAGTGGTAAGAATAATGTGTGAAGAATCCCTCACTTGTCCAGGTAGAATCCATGACGAGGAGAAAATTCAGTTTGCTCATGAGCTGCGAAACGTCTTTAACCAAACTAACTTTTGTCCAGTCGACAAACTAAATTTTCTCCTCGCCATGGTACAAATAATGCTTACTGCAGCGCCTTCTTACTCGTGTGTCTCGCTCATGGCTTGTGGTCTCCAGAGGAAGTGTGGCCGGGGTTCCTCTCTGAAGGCGCAGATGGAGCCTGGTTCCTCCTTCAGCTCGGGAAACTTGCAGAACTCCTCCTGATCGGTCGGACTGGGACTGTGCACGAGAACTGCGTACATCACTTTCTGTTTGTACAGGACGGTGTTCCACACTCGCATCACCGGCTTCTGACCCCCACAAAACTGAAAACAGCAGGGACATGTTCAGATTAAAGGTACACTATGGAACTGTTCAAACACCTGCTTGTCTCCATGGAGATGTTGTAGCTTTGTCCAGAATGTTCAGCAGTTAGTTCAGCATTAGACTTATTTGTTTCTGTGGAGAAAATGAAGTGATGCAGAGACTTACGAGATTTACAATTTTAAGTTCTCATGAAGCAGAGTACAATAATCAAATAAGCAAAATGAAAACATGAAAGTTATATGGAATCACATCACATTTGCTGTGCATGTCCAACCAGAAAGTAAAAAGATAAATCTCACCAAAACTTAAAAACTAGACAAAACTAGGCAAGATTTTTGGAAAATCTTCAATAAAATGATGTCAACTATGTTTTAGTGCATTGTTTCCCAAAGGCTTGATGACTTGATCGCGATCCTCATGTAGGTCGTAAGATATTTTTTTGGGGGTCGCCTTGTCATGATCTGCATCTACAGTAGGTCTGTGATATACAGTTCTGACACATGAGAACTAGTGAGTCAGTGAATCCTATCTCATTCACTCACTTAGGGCAGGCGCCCTGAAATGAGTGTTCCTGCAGCTAAAGTTGAGAAATGCTTGGTTGCCCAAAAAGAAGAGATAAATCAACAAAGGTCAGAGCACTTCAGGATACTTATGGATCCTTTTTATTTATTTATTCTTCAATGTTTTTCATTGTTTAAAACTTGAGTAATACTAATTGTTCAGAGACACAATCACTCAGTCAACCATAAAATATCTTCATTAATGTTCAAAAATGCTCAAATCCACTTTTATTTTGTGATTTATGAATAATGTCTATTGACTTGGGTTGTGAAGGTTTGTGACTTTTAAAACAGTCTCCCAAAAAAAGTTTGTGAAACACTGTTTTAGTGAAATGAGTCATATGCACTTTGAAGTAATACAGTATAAATAATATCACCTCCCACCTTTTCTCTCTCTCTCTGTCTGTCTGAATACTTCTCCTGTAGACCACAGATTCACCTGTTGGCTGTACTTGTCCAGGACGTCCTGCAGGGGGAACGTGAAGCAGAATGAGCCCAGTCTGGAGCTGGAGCTGAAGGCAGGAGAAGTGGCAAAGGTCTTCAGGACTCCACTCCCATCTGCACGCAAAACAAACATCCACTTTTTATAACTTTCCACCATGATATAACTTTGTTCCCTCATCCAAGACATGTCTGAAGAGCTTTAAATTTGTTTTCTATGCATGTTTGATAGATGTGTAACGGTTCATGTATTTGTGCCGAACTATTTTGGTACAGGATGTTCGGTTTTTGCAGGGCTGTGCACGAGGGACTTCACACAATTTCTGTGTGTTAACATTCCTCCACTACATGTGCAGCTACACAGAGGCTCGACTCTTTAATATTCACGAGGGAACTCATCTGTGATTGGGGCAGTGTTTCCCGCAGCGCTTTATAGTTACAGCAGCCACCTTCACAACAAAATGCCCCCTGCCTTGACTCCCTCAACCATGTGAATCCTGCAAAACTACAGTCGTCGCATCGCGATCCTCACTTTCACCTTTTGTCGACACAGAATCCCCCCCCTCCCAAATCTGCCCCATACCCTCGACCTCTGTCTGTAGTGAAAGTGTATTTTCAGCCGCTGGGGACATTGTAGCTGCAGCAGATCTGCTCTTTCTTCAGACAATGTGGCCAAGTTGTTTTTTTGGGACAAAAATCTGAAGACTGAGTAAAAGTTCATGCTGGAACTGTTAGTGCTGCATTTTACTTTTTGAAAAGTTTTGTTTACTGTTTAACAAGGAATTTATTTTTTATAATATTTCATACATTTGTTGCTTATTTGAGAATATTTTATTTAACTTATCGGTATTACCAAGCAGCACTTTGCATTTATTTTATTTTCCCGTTTGTATAATGTTAAAACTAAGTGCTGGTTTAATAAAAACACAAATGGTTTTGTATTTTGTTCCCATTCTGAACAGAAAATGAACCGAACCGTGACCTCAAAACCGAAGTACATACCGAACTGCGATTTTTGTGTACTGTTCTACCTCTAATGTTGAGTAATCTAATGATCTCTCCCGGGTCCTATTCAAACTCAGTTAGGTAAGTAGATGTCCTGGTTAAATTTAAATAACTTTACAGACTTTTTTCCCTCTTTTTTTCCTTCTCCTTGCACAATCATCTCTGGTCATGTGACAGTTTACAGTAAACATGTGAAATTGCACATCAGTGTCTGCGTACACACTGGTTTATCAGTGTGTTTGACTTTGGCTCTATATAAAAATGTGACCATTTACCATGTGACCAAAATACTGAAAATATATTGTAAATTTGCACATTAACACATTTACAGAGACTAAAAATATTGACTAAACGACTCAAAACCTCCAGTACTCACAGTCTCCCTGACCCTCTGTTGTCCCTCTGCTGGTGGGTGGGTGGTACTGCTCCTCTGTGCCATCTGAGTGGACGATGGTCATGGGTCTGTCCTCTGCTTCCTTCAGCTCAGCTCTGCTCACGGTCAGGCTGAACCACACCACTCTCTTTCCCCTGTACCCTGGGCTCCTGAAGCCAGAATCATTCAGGATACCGAAGATCCCCGTCTGGTCCGTGCAGTGGCTCAAATGGGCCACGTGAAGCTCAGGTCGGGGGTAAGAGGGGACCTTGATGTGGAGGTAGTTACTATATCCATTTTGAGGGTCAGACTTCAGCTGCTGTACAGACAAGTGCTGTGCAGGGTAGATAGTTTCCATGGTTCACTGACACAGCACAGTGTTTGTACATGTGTAATAAACCTAGTAAGTTCACACCCACAAAGCACAAAGTCCACCCACATAATCTTTATCTAATCAAATAATGAGAAAGAGTAGTGTTCCATATCACAATAAATACACTTATAAAACCATTATAGTACTTTAAAAACTTTACAGCCGGGCAAAGGGCTGTAAACAAACAGAATAAACAAGGACAGTCACAAAGTCACAATAGACTCTGTTCACGCTCATGTCATAAGCCAGGAAGACGTTTGGAAAGATGCAATTACCACTCATGGATCTACGTTACAACTTCCCAGGCCCAATAGTCCGATGAGGTTCATTAGGTCTTCTGATAATTTATGTTATTAGGTTCTTTTTTCAGACCAAGGGTTTGTTTTCATACCTGACAGTCCCGGACCTGGATCAGTCCTGGTTCAGTCCGTACATGGTGCAAAAGTTCGGCATCACAGTTACGGAAGTCACATCAACGAGAAATGTCCGTTATCCGTTTTTTCCATTCTTCATTTAAACACAAAATCCAAAACTGAAAAAAAAAAATAAAAAAATCTGTTATCTGTTTTTTCATTTTGGTTTTGGAGACAAATAACGAAGAAAACTGTTGTTTTTTTCGTTTTCTTATTTTTGGTTTTATATTGAAAAACTAATGAACGAATGACACACAGATTTAGTGTCTGCAGTTGTAATACATGTTCGTTTTCCTGTTCTTTGTGGTGCTGTGCACAAACTAACCACTTCCCCTCTGGTGTCTGATTCACACACTGCAGACTTACACACAGACTGCTCATGGACTCTTTATGACCTGCACCACTTGAAGAAGAAAAAGAAGAAGAAACTGTCTGGTGTCACGATGTTTCCTTAATTCTCACCATTTGCACAGTAATAGGAGAAATTCTACAGTAAAAAGTACACACTAAGGACCTGGCTCCACTGCACGCGTCAGCGTTTACGCACGTAACCTCACAAAACCACAGCCGTTCATCAACGCAAAGGCAGCTTCATCAGCAGCTGCAGCAGGACGTACACGTGCGACACTGACTCTGTGTTTGTCAATGGAAAAGACAATCAAACTTGACTGGGCGAGTTTAGTCGCTTGTATCAGGGCCACAGTGAAACTAACAGCTGAACAGACTTGTATTTACCTTCTGCACAGACTCACCACAACAAACATGAGGATTTCAAAAGTAAATTTTAAAGCACTAATTAACAGTCTTTGTGGAGCTGGGCTCTTTCATACGACACAGGAGTATTTTTTGGTTTATTTTACTAAATTATTTTGTTACAGCTACAGTTTTGTTGTTTATTCAGAGGAAGGAAACTCGTTTATGCGACACATTTGACATTTTCACTGATTTGAGGATTAAAATGTTTGTGTTTCATATGAACTTTACACAAGAAATATATCGTATTGAATCAAACGCTCACTGTATCGAGATATGTATCGTATCGTGGCCTGTGTATCGAAGTATAGACGCATCAAGAATCTGGGACGTCCGGTCATTGCGCAATTCATACTGGGAAGGATTTTCTGAAAAAGTGAGCATCAAACCTCCATGTTTGATGTGTCTATTGACAAAGTCGATCTTTTCAAGTCTTTTGAACCATATCACTTTTGTTTCTGGTTCTGATATTGTCATATTTTAGTTTTGGGATTCGGACGTCGTGATTGTGTGGTTGTTGGATCCTAACAGCGGAAAACGGCTTGAGAAATGTGTTTGCGAACTCCATAACTGCAAAAGGGAATCAGATGTGTGTGACTCAAACCTCCGTTCAAACTGTTTCTCTTCCCAACGGAATTGAAAAATAGTGAAAGGCGAAGGCTATGGGCAGGATTGATCCACAGAAAGAACCAAAAAGGAAAACTTTCTCTGCCTAAATCATTCCGAGAACATTTTGTATGTGGAGCGACATTAAAACAAAATCCCGATCTGTCGCTCAACCTCGGTTACGAATTTAAAAAGTCAACACCAAAGTGAAAGGCTCCAACTGTTCACCAAGAAACACCTTCCACTGCAAAGAGACCAAGACGTGATGTTGCTGTAAAACCACAAGAACAAGAAAGTGCAGCTCAGTCTGTTTGTCTTCTGCTCCTCTCCATTAACAAAACGGGATCCTGCTTTGTTGTCGCTCCACATACAAAATGTTCGCTGCAAACTCGGGATGATTTAGGCAGTCAAATGTTTCCTTTTTGGTTCTTCCTGTGGATCAATCCTGCCCATCACCTTCACCTTTCACTATTTTTCAATTCCGTTGGGAAGAGAAACAGTTTGAACAGAGGTTTGAGTCACACACATCTGATTCCCTTTTGCATTTATGGAGTTCGCAAACACATTTCTCGAGCCGTTTTCCGCTGTTAGGATCCAACAACCACATGATTACGATGTCCGAATCCCAAAACTAAAATATGACAATATCAGAACCAGAAACAAAAGTGATATGGTTCAAAAGACTTGAAACGATCGACATTGTCAGTAGACGCATCCCACTGGGAAAACAAACATGGCGATTTGATGCTCACTTTTTTCGGAAAATCCTTCCCAGTATGAATTGCGTGATGACTGGAAGTCCGAGATTCTTGATGCGTCTATTACAGGTGGTTTTATAGCTCAAAAAACACTAAAAAACAGGCACGTAACTTGGTCTGGTTTGGTCTCCGTGAAGATAGAAAGGTTTAATGCCATACTGCGGAACAGTCCAGACAAAGAAATATCACGTCCAGGGCGAAAAGCCACCAGAAAAGTTACACAATGCACCTTTAAATATGAGATTTAAAGATGGTGTATTCTGAAATTCTCTTAAATGCAATAACATCTCCATGGAAAAAAAACCCCAAAACAAAACATTTGACGGACTCTCCACCAGAAAAGTTACACAATGCACTTTTAAAAAGGGACAGTTCAGGATTTTTGACATAAATCTGTGTGTCATCCCTGTGAGCAGTGTCGTGCATCCACACTGACTTACCCCCGACAGCGTCCGGTGAACCGAGATACTGGCCGTTTTCGGTGCTGACGAAAGTAGTCCGGCAAGTTGGCTGGGGACAGTAAAATAAAGCGTTTTTCTTCTCAAAACAATATGTGTTCAAAAGAGTGATACATTTGCATCACAAAACCATCGTCGCCAAAAAAGTCAGACCTCATTATCGCTTGGCACTATTTTCTTTCCGTTCGTATCACTGCGCCTGGTTCACTTTGTTTACTGCTCGGAATGTTCGCGACAACATGTCTGATTACGACACCGACAATAAAGACTTTGCCTTTGCCACAAAGCCAAGGGGAGATCTTTATGAACCTGAATATACTGATGCCGAATTTCACCAGATGGAGTTAGAACGAGCAGAGAGAGAAGAGAGACAGAGAAGTGGCACAAGTTGAAGCTGGAGCCGCGAGAGACCGAGTGAGCGACAATCACCATCACGTCATTTATAAACTTGTACACAGTGAACGTAGAGTCTACACTGACTAATAGATAAGATAATCCTTTATTGTCTCCCATGGGAGAAATTTGTCTTGGGACAGGGGGTCACATGCTTTATCAAAAAACAGGACAACACAACACAAAGCAGCACATAAACAAACACCATAAAACAAAGTAAATATGAGACCAGTATGACCACGAGTGATGCACCAACAGGACCCTTAAATTATCCTTAACAGGCAAACCCTTGCATTCTTCTGTTCTATTAATTATTGCACATTCCCTACACCTATGTGCAGATTTAATTATTGCACATTCCCTAAGCCTATGTGCAGTTTTAGTTATTATTGCACATTCCCTTAGCCTATGTGCAGATTTAATTATTGCACATTCCTTAAGCCTATGTCTAGCTTTAATTGCACAATCCCTAAGCCTTTTATAATTATTTTTTAACTGCATTATCTGAGTTTAGCAGTTTAACAGCTAGTGGCACAAAAGAATAATAGAAACATGGAATCATCCACACGTCCACGTAGCTGCTGCCAATAGTGTACGAGACATTTACAATAGTAATAACAGTCGACTTATAAAGTTACGTTTGTAGAAGTTTCACTGGTGATATGACACTGAGTGATTTACAGCTGATTCTTGAGTCTGTTCTCTTGTCACAGCGGCACTTCTTCGTTCTTACCTGGTTTGGTTTCCACATTGAAGCTTTAAGGCAAGAAGCCAAAGTTTCCTCAGCGCAAAGTCTGTGACAGGAAAACGGTGACGTGTGTGTGGAGATTCAGCCAGATTTTTGTTGTTACAGCCTGGATAATCAAAAGTTCGCACCATTTTTTAGATATATTCTTATGTATCTTATACAAGCTTATATACTTATGGCTCTAGCTCTCATGTTAGCTCTCTCACGTCGCGGTGGTCTGCGCACGTAAACACTGCCGAACAACTGAAGAAACAGATGGATTTGTGCGCGCAGTGATACAAACAGAAAGAAAATAGTGCCAAGCGATTATGAGGTCTGACTTTTTTGGAGACGATGGTTTTGTGATGCAAATGTATCACTCTTTTGAACACATATTGTTTTGAGAAGAAAAACGCTTTATTTTACTGTCCCCAGCCAACTTGCCGAACTACTTTCGTCAGCACCGAAAACGGCCAGTATCTCGGTTCACCGGACGCTGTCGGGGGTAAGTCAGTGTGGATGCACGACACTGCTCACGGGGATGACACACAGATTTATGTCAAAAATCCCGAACTATCCCTTTAAATAAGATGAATCGTGAAAAGCCGTGTGTTGCGGTGCGCGGTCCACACTTTGAGACCCTCTTGTGTATAATGACACACTTTTCCAGTTTAATGTAATGAATCAAATAAGGCAGTCGGACTCATCAGCGCCGCAGTAAATGTGGTTTTAGACAAAGGCTGAATTAGCTCTATTAAGTAGAATGGCTCTGGGGCTAATGGTGCGTTTGAGTGTTGCTCGTTCACCATCACAAAGTTGTCCAACAAAAATAAAAAATAGACTTTAAACGCAACACAGTCTCATCAGAGGACAATAG